TTACTTTGTAATGCTTCTTTATGGACTCTCTGGACTCTTCCATATTACTACGTAAGGCTAGCTGGTCTATAATTTCCAGTGCAGGGAAGAAATTTTTACCTCTGTAGGGATCGAACCCTCGGCGCTCTAATCAACTAAGCTAACTAACTGGCTGAAGGTGTTGTTGTTTTTTCTTGTTGAATTTCGAGCAATTCTACTAGAGGGCTATCAGCGCTAGCCGTACCTAATTTAGGAAGTGATAGACTACTAGAGGGAAGGCGGGTAGTCAACACCGCCAACTCTTGGGCTACTCTTTTACCAACTAAAAGTTGGATTGACCGTCACATTATAACGCCCCATGGGTGAAATAGTGAGCGTGTTCAGTAACAGGATTCGAATCTGCCGCCCGCAGATTGTGAGTCCTAACTATCAAGGAGCCGACAAAGTAAACTACATATCCTTAATTGTTGTTAGCTCAGTTAAATTTAAAAAGGAAAGAATAGACCAACACGGAAACTTTAAACTAACTTTCTGTATTCTGAAATGGAATAAAAACATGCGGACTAACATGAGCCAAAGACCCTACTAATCCCCCCTCCACAAAACTACATTAGTCTCAATACAGTAAAAAGTCACTACAAAAGCTGATCGTTTACTTCTTTAAAGCTCAACAATGCAATCATTGAAGTTGTACTTCACTGTTTGAAATCTAACAGCGTCTGTATTTGTAGTTTTGTATTGCAAGTTTTGACATAAAGTAATAATAAATTAGGAGAAACAAAATATTTTATAAAAATTCTACTACGGCAAATCGCTTGTTCAAGTCTTGAATAAATGCCATTTTCATGGCCTCATACATTTTTCGAAAAGTTAACAAACACGTGGAATAAAAATGCATTAAGTTTATTCACTTCCTGAATTCCACTTTGACTAAATAAATAAATATAAAAACACACACACACCACATATACACAAAGTATGTTAGCGGTATACGTAGAAAGATGCATCTCGGAGTTCCACTGAACAACGTAGAAAGATACATCTCGAATAACAAGTAACATCCTCGACAAAGAAGGTTAAATAAGGCAACATTACAAACAGTGCTGGATATTAGCTACACACAAAACAAACCACTGAATGTTATAACACAAAAACAAATCACTTCATACTAGGAAAACAAAATAAATCAAATTTTCTATAAAAGCAGCGCCATCTTTAGAAAGAAACAGAATAGAACAAACTGTGTAAAATGAGTTATGGGTTTCCCCGAGTAGAGAAAAAAAAACAAGATATTCAAAATAAGAATAGGGACAAAATAAAGAGATATCAAGATACCTTCTTTAAACACGCCGTTCTTGATGTCCTATGTAATACAATGTTATTCTGTGAATTAAAACAAAGTAAAACGTACTTGTGTATAAGAACTTGTTATCAGGTGCCTTTACCTTTTCTTTTAAAACAAAAATGGTGCTGTTGGTACGAAGATCAAAATTATAATTGCGTTTTTTCTCCGAGTTGGAGTCGAATTTTTTATCCTTAGAGCTTCAAAGTAAATAATATTTAAGTAAGGGCTTGTAGCATTATAGGCACGAAATCTGAAACATTGGTAAATCATGTCTAAGTAGAAGTTTGTAGCATTATAAGTACGAAATCTGAAACTTGGGTAAATCATACCTACGCACTCTCTACTCTCTCACTGTTTTCGCGTTCCATATTTCGATAGGTAAAAAATATTTTGTGCATTTATGGAAAAAAAAACCTTAGGTTTGATTTTTGAAAAGAAATTACAAACCTATTTTAAATCAAGGCTTCCTTATGAACGATGTTTTTCCTTCACTGACAAGGATAAAATGGCCCTTATGGAGAATACTTAGATTATCTTGTACACGTATGAGTACCCGCTCTGGCGAACACTATAAGCCTAGCTCTATTCCCCCCATCCCGGTCATTCCTCCTCAAATATTAACGTTTCAAACGTAAATATATACGTAATATTATGTTGAATTTGCTTTAATGTAAATTTAATATATTTTTATGAATGTGATACCATTTTCACATTGATGTATGAAATATACTACAAAAAATACAATATTGTACTTTATAATGTATCAAAATAAAAAAACATCCACTTCCAGATATCGAACCCGGAGAAAAAAATCAGAATAAAATGCATAAGCCTTACTCTTTTCACGTAGTTTATTTTATACGCTAGGCCTACTATTTGCTTTTTCACATTTCTTCTGTGTGTGAGGTTAAATATATGATACATTAGTATATGTATAATTAATAATATATAATTAAATAGGCCAGTCTATTATAATGGTAATAAAAAATATACAATTCCCAGGTTCAACCCATCTTCTACTTCATGCAAGCAAGTACTTTCCCAGTTACGCTGACTTGACTTTAATATCATTGTATACATTAAAGTTTTATAATTTAAGCCTTACTCTTTTCACGTAGTCTATTTTATGGCAGACGACATAATTTTATTTTATAGGCTAGGCCTACTGTTCGCTTTTTCACACACATTTTAATTCTGCATACATTTCTTTTGTGTGTGAGGTTACATATATGATGTATTAGTAGATGTGTAGTTAATGCTCTATAACTAAATAGGCCTATAATGCTATATTCTAAATTAAATGTTAACTCATACTTACCAGAAAATGTCAAGTCTGCGTAGAATTTATTCGTGTAACGATAAAATTACCGGTCTTCTAGCAGACGATAGACGCCTATATCAACGAAATATTTTGCGCTCCTTAACGTGAGGGAAGTGTGACCTGCGCAGTAAACGCGGCGGACAAAGAAACAAACAAATAAATTTAGATTTTGAATTTTATATATAGATAACTTCTCGGACGTATCGCTCATGACTTTTATTAATTTTTTTAGTTATCCTTGTTACAAACACAAGTCCTGTCACCTGGACAACATTCCATTTTGTCTTCGTTCAGACACAGATTTATTTAGCAAAAAATGTACATTTTCAGACATACACAGAAATTAATTCCCTGCTCGTATATACATGGTGTGAGGAATAACATGGATTTATTAAATCACTTTTTCTACATTTTCACTATTTAACCTTTTCAATCTTCGGACTTCTTAAAGCCAAGTACTAAAACAGGTAATCATTGAGGAAAACAAAAGTAGTATAGTTTTCTGAAATTTTCAAAGCAGAACGACTTTTTTATGCAGTTTAAAAATATTTACAAGAATGACCTTTTTTTGTGCAGCTTCAACTATTTACAAAACTCAAAGTTCCAGTGTTAAATGTTCTGCTACATCCCGTACATGAATCTTGCTTCAGACTTTAAATTTATACACAAACTATAAAGGTTATACAAGTGCATAATAAACGAGCGAAAAAAGATCGTTCAAAAGTTTAGATTAATCCACTCTTTTAAATGTCGCTTAGAATTCAGTAAATCTCCCCAAAATCTGTATATGTCTTCTAACAAATAACAGTTACTCCCGTTTGTATCCCAGTTCTGTGTAACCTTCGGGAATTTGAAAACTGGAGGCTAATTTCTAAGTGACGTTTGGTGTTCTCTGTTAGCATAACGAATTGAACCTTTTTACACTTGTCCACATTTTTACCCTAAACGGGAACGTCGTAGCTTGTGTTTCCATAACAACAAGAACGTATAGAATGATTGGAGCTATGTCCTGCCTAGTGTCGTCATGGTAGCTAGAATCGAAGCTCAGTTAGCTTCGGTCGGTCGTTCAGTAAGTGGAAAAACTTATTGTAGGGGGGAGGGAGCTCTTTAACATTACTTTAGATATAATAGATCAGGCAATTACCGTTTTAAGCAGGACGAACTGCGAAAGAGCATCCGATTAGACCATGTCCAATAGCTCACGGTGTTTGGATGCCTATAGAGAAAACAAACGGCCTGGGAAAAAAAAAGAGGAGAATAATGGCAATTAGACGTCAGACCGAGGAGGTTGTAAAACGTTTTAGCTATTTTTACAGGTTGAGACAGCCTCGTCCTGAGAAAAACGTGTATCAGGAAAAGTTAGAGAAGTCGAGACAAGCAGGGTGCGCTTCTTCTCGGATTGCCAGTAATTCTAAACATTACTGGTGTATTTATCTCCCACTTTAAAGAGATGATGATATCAAATAAACATCTAACAGTGTATTGTCATTTCTACTGAATTACATCAAATAAAGATGTAACAGTGTATTGTCATTTCTACTGAATTATGGTCAAATAAAGATGTAACAGTGTATTGTCATTTCTACTGAATTACGGTCAAATAAAGATGTAACAGTGTATTGTCATTTCTACCGAATTACGTCAAGACTAAACAATGTGTTGTCATTTCTAGTTTGCTATAATTAAGAACACGATAAAACGTTTCATGGCAGTTCTCTAGGAACAACTATGCCGAATAAATACGTTAAAAAATATCGTACGTTTTTTCCGTCAACAATGTAACAGTATTCCCACACGTTAAATAATGTTTTATACCTTCATTTGGAGAAATGGCAAGCTGATTCGGCTGATGTCACACAAATACATGTTAAACCTAAAGCGGATGATATTCCTGAATAGTATTTAGGCATACATTATCTACATATAATTATAGTTTTCACATGTCCAAAATTATCAATGTTCAAATGATCCGAATAAACCAAAAACTTCACATAATCCTTTTCTTTCTTCAATTTTCCAAGACTGCACCAAAAGATGAAACTAACAATGAATGCTAACAGATCAGCATTCTGCGGACTTACGTGCCTGTTGACATTATTCAGTGTTGTTCACGAATGTTTGAAATTCTCATGATTGCACACTTATGCAAAATATTTGGCATGCCCTTGACTTAGTTGTCAAGTTCTGGACATTATAAATATACTTTAATGTGTCACAATGTTGACTTTTCAGTTGCATTTACCACCAGATTAAATGGATTCGTGTTAGAGCAAAATGGGAGTTCATCTAAACTCAAGGAACTTTTGGTAACACTAATAGTAAAAATAGTCTGTGGCTAGAACATCAGCGTTAGGCCTAAGTGTAATGTCCTGAGTCAAAATTAATTGCAGTAGAAACGGGTTTGTTTACAATACTGAAGGCTGGTATCGAGTTGATGTTGTGTTGAGCTTGATCTTTCTCTTTTCGAATAATCTCTTCCTTTTTCCGCGCCTGTTTTCGTTCCTTAGCTCGGCGATTTTGAAACCAAATTTTCACTTGACGATCTGATAGGCCTAACATGGTAGCCAGCTCCGTCTTCCGCCGGATGGTAATGTAACGGCTGTAATGGAATTCTTTCTCAAGTTCTAACCGCTGATGATCGGTGTACACTGTTCTGTATTTGTCTTTAGTCCTAGTTCTTCCTGTAAATGTAGTTAAACAAGTAATGTTAGAACATAATATATTTTCATATTGTAAAGATTAGTAAAAACAATAGTTTACTACTTCTAGATAGAACGATTTACGAAACGCATACAGAGAGCAGCGAATTTACAAAATATACAAATGTTGATTATTCAGAACGTTTCGAATTAAACAGTTGATAAATTACACTAAACTACTTTACATATTCTTCAAGAGAAACCCATCAATCTGTGTTCCATCAATGTTTAGTTATCATAAAGCCAACTTAAGTGTGTTACAGTAATGTTTACTTACAATACATCCAGTTTAATTTTGTTACAGTAATACTGTGACAACAACGTTGGCAGGTTATAAGGGAACGGTAATTAAGCCTAACGAATAAGAAACACGAGATGAGGTAAGTGTAAACACTGCGACAAGCGGTACATACGGTGTGTTTATCACGCCTACTGTTCTTGAGGTAGGGAACGTGGCGGGAACGATCACCAAGCTAGTTTTACCGAAAGGCGTTAGCGATAATGAAAGTTACACGTCACATGTCATACGAACTTAACACGGTAACAAGAGTGCCAAAATCCCTCTGTACTTCTTTGCATACAAATATATTTACATACTATTAAATTATGAAATTATTGTTATCGAAGGGACATATTGAAACCAAAATATATTTTTTTAGTTTACTAAATTAAGTTTATTTACTCGCAAATAATGGTAATTACACACTTACGGGCCTTGACCTTGTCTACAGAGTAAACTTTCCGACTTTTTTAGGCCTTAGCTCTAAAAACTCCAATAAAACAACGATATTCAAACACTTGAAATTAGTCGGACTTCGGGATCGGAAGTGGGCACTTTCAGTCTAGTGTTTCACAGCGGAAGTGACTTCTTTTTAAGTGCACACAAATCGAGGTGGTGTTTAAATTACACATCTGTGCTCTACCAAGAAATTAAGTATACTTTTTTTACAGCACTTAGCTTTCAAGAACAAGCATATTTAGGTTGTAAATGTGTCTGAAATCCCGACAGTAAGCCTGTAAACTCAGCTACTCTCGCAGAAAAAGCTTCTACCCTGCTTTAGCAGCAATTACGTTAGTCATGGCTCGCACTTCTAATTTGTCATACAAACTATTTGTTACAATGCGGTTACGTTAGAAAAAAAAAAGATGCATATATTTGCATAAAGTCGAGTATACGGAAATCAGTGGACTTACTTTTAGTTTATGAAGTCAAAATTTAAAAAGGTAATTCTTATTATCTTAACTTATGAATTACAAGATATAATAATACAGATTTGATGATAAAACCTTGTCGAAACATTGGTTACTGTGTTAAACTTGTAAATAAACTTTACTTCGTTACCCATTCAAGCCGTTTCTAAACCTTTTAAAGTATAATAATGGTTGTTTATACGCGAAACTGCACACTAGGCCCTCCATAGGCCTTACTGCTGAGAGACACAGGAAATCATTCAGTACTTTGTTATAAACTAATTTTAATAGTCGATCACCCGATGGGAAAAATAAAATTGTCTTAACTGGAGTCAAGCCTGTCTTTTCCAAACCTTAAACGTGTTCTACTATCTCCATATCACAGCACAAAGAAACCAGGACTTTATTCTGTCGATAAAGCAGATAACGCTTCTTTTTACAAGAGAAAATAAATTACGAAATTTCAACTTATTCCTATAACATCACCCTTTCGGAATCATCCAGGTATCCTTTCTCAGATAATCCCAAGTTAAGCCTAACATGTAGTTTGAGTTGATTACCTTGGTTGACTTGAACACCCTGAAATGTTATTGGAGTTGCTACTAGTAACCGTGCATTGCTCTCTTACTTGATCCTTTTTTTCAGTCACATTATCGAATAGGTTCCCAGTTTGTGATCCAAATTATAATAACCCTAATGCTTTACCTTGCACTTAGTATATAATTAAAGATCATTTACCAAAATTTGTCCAATTTTCAATTGATCCAAGTCATTTTGTAATATAGCTATTGATACCCAAGAACTTAATGTCAGCAAACTCCACTTTTCTACTAAGTTATGTCTTAATCAGTATCATTACTGTAAACAGAAAAAAGTCCACAAGCACTGACCCATGAGGTACTCCACAAGTAACAAGGGTCCAGTTTGACCGGACATCATTAACAACAACCTGTTGCTTTCTCCAATCCAAATAACTAGTTTTTCTACACTCTTATCCATTTTCTAGAACCTTTACCAATGCGATTTGTTTAGCTAATCTTTTGTGTGGTACCTTATCAAATTTGTTTTTGAAAATCTGATTACAACCTTTTCATTATCTAGATAACATGTAACATCATCGACAAAGGTTAAATAAGGCAACAGATAACAAGTAACATCCTCGAGAAAGGTTAAATAAGGCAACAGATAACATGTAACATCCTCGACAAAGGTTAAATAATGCAACAGATAACAAGTAACATCCTTGACAAAGAAGGTTAAATATGGCAACAGATGGTCGAGGTAGAAAACACATGATGTTAGGTAAGTCATGGTAAACTCTTTACGTGGAACACAACAATCTAGTATAGTAGAGATCTTACCAATGACCAAGCTGTATGTTCAGGAGTGAATGTTACAGTAAGAAACACAAAGTGGCCTCAAAGGATGTGTATCTGTTCAAAAACCACTGCTTAAAGAGATACCAAACCAAAATGCTGCAATAGGCATCAAACTTCAAAGAACTGAATGAGCAAAGCTGGAGGTGGGTGTTCTTCACAGATGAATCCAAATTAGAATTGTTTGTCAACGATAGTTTGTTCGATTGCAGAGAGGGCAGTGGTATCTTTGTCATTGCACAGTGAAGCATGCTGGGAATCAATACCAGTATGGGCTGTATCTCAGCTTATAGAACTACACAAAGTTAATGGCACCCTGACTGCTGACAGGTATAAGCAGACTTAGCTTGTTCAAAACTACGATATGAATAATAATAAATAAAGACTCTGTGGCCATATATGCAGACCAAGAAGACCAATAGCAAACAAACAACTTGGCTGGGTTGTGGGGAGCAATATGGGACTTTAGAACAACATTTCACAATCATATTTTATAAACTTATGGTAACATAAAACAGGAAGGACTGGTCTGCTTGAAGTAAATATAAAATATAAGTGTATTGTGTATCTTTATGGGTTTTGTTTAGTATTTTATGCAGTAATTTATTGCCCTAATGATAAATGAACCACTGAGTTACAACCACTCACTTTTTTGTTTGTGTTTATCAGTTCCATAATTATTTCCAATAATGTTTTCCAGACAATTATGACTACAGTTACACCTGATTTTTATGCTCATATGTTTATCTGACCTCCTTTTTCGTCATCTTTATTTAGCACCACAAAAACAATAAACTTCAAACTACTCCTATGAGGTCAGCATAAACAATAAACTTCAAACTACTCCTGTTAGACCAGTATAAACAAACACGTCTGTAGATTATACCTATCAGTCACTGTAACTTTATCATACATTATGCCATTGCTGTTGTCTTCACAGTCAACAGTGTTGATAAGAGCAATACGTCTGTCTTACCGTATATAGTCCACGTTTTAAGAACATCGTACTACATACAGTTATATTTACCACTAGCTTGAGTACCTGTCCGTTTGAAGGGTGAAATAAAAACTTATTTATAACAAAGGATAGGAAATTATTCAATGAAAATACATAAAGATACCAATGCTGAAAAGAAAGACATGCTGTTTTCAAGAATTCTAACAATAGTGGTTACATAGCTCATCCTAATGCTGAGAGATATACAATATTGGTAGTTCATCTGAAATGAGATGGGGGATCCACCCACCCCCTTATGACCTTCCTCATGTCATCCTGTATTACGTGTCAAGTTTGGTACTGATTGATCAAGAAATCTAGAAACGTATAAGGAATAGATACACACACATATTGACGTTTATTCATATAGAAAGATGGGGGATCGAACCCCCTTCATGACCTTTTCGTGTCATCCTGTATCACTGTGCCAAGCTATGCTGATTTGGTAGTTTTCCCTAATTAGATAAGAAATTAGATGGGGTT